GTCAGTCTCGACTTCCGGTGATAACCGGAAGTGGGCGTAATTCCGGAAATAGAGGTGAAAATCCTTGTATCTCGGCAACCGTAGGTCGTAGAGACTCGGGGACAAGTCCTGCGTGTTCAGAAGGGTCGGATTATGGCAGACGGAGCGCGTTTCCAAGTGTCTGCGACGTTCGGTTCCGGAGTTATTCCCGTTTGAGTGTGTCCATTCATTGTGAATGGGGCGATGGGTTGTTGGAAAATTTCAAAGTGTCAGCCCTAGTATGGGATTTTTCAGAAAGTGTTTAGGAGCACGTTTGGGGCCATTTGGAGTGGATTGGGACAGGTTTGTATGTTGACTGTTTTGGAGTGTCTGAGGTGGTTGGTTGTGTGTAGGCAAGTGTGGGAGTGGTTAGGTTCAGGGTAAGGCTACTGGGAAAGGTGTTATTTGGAGTGATAGACCTGTCAAGAGTGTGCCAGCCAGCCAGCCAGCCAGCCAGCCAGCCATTTGGAAGCTAGGGTTAGGGTTACCCGATAGGAATAGGGATGAGTGCAACATTAGACATTGGTCTAATGAGCATGTTTCTCCTCACAGGAAGGTTGTAGAGAGTTCAAAGCAGGTTCAATCTGTTCATTTTTTCCTTCCGCTTCTTTGGGTGTCAGTCTCGACTTCCGGTGATAACCGGAAGTGGGCGTAATTCCGGAAATAGAGGTGAAAATCCTTGTATCTCGGCAACCGTAGGTCGTAGAGACTCGGGGACAAGTCCTGCGTGTTCAGAAGGGTCGGATTATGGCAGACGGAGCGCGTTTCCAAGTGTCTGCGACGTTCGGTTCCGGAGTTATTCCCGTTTGAGTGTGTCCATTCATTGTGAATGGGGCGATGGGTTGTTGGAAAATTTCAAAGTGTCAGCCCTAGTATGGGATTTTTCAGAAAGTGTTTAGGAGCACGTTTGGGGCCATTTGGAGTGGATTGGGACAGGTTTGTATGTTGACTGTTTTGGAGTGTCTGAGGTGGTTGGTTGTGTGTAGGCAAGTGTGGGAGTGGTTAGGTTCAGGGTAAGGCTACTGGGAAAGGTGTTATTTGGAGTGATAGACCTGTCAAGAGTGTGCCAGCCAGCCAGCCAGCCAGCCAGCCAGCCATTTGGAAGCTAGGGTTAGGGTTACCCGATAGGAATAGGGATGAGTGCAACATTAGACATTGGTCTAATGAGCATGTTTCTCCTCACAGGAAGGTTGTAGAGAGTTCAAAGCAGGTTCAATCTGTTCATTTTTTCCTTCCGCTTCTTTGGGTGTCAGTCTCGACTTCCGGTGATAACCGGAAGTGGGCGTAATTCCGGAAATAGAGGTGAAAATCCTTGTATCTCGGCAACCGTAGGTCGTAGAGACTCGGGGACAAGTCCTGCGTGTTCAGAAGGGTCGGATTATGGCAGACGGAGCGCGTTTCCAAGTGTCTGCGACGTTCGGTTCCGGAGTTATTCCCGTTTGAGTGTGTCCATTCATTGTGAATGGGGCGATGGGTTGTTGGAAAATTTCAAAGTGTCAGCCCTAGTATGGGATTTTTCAGAAAGTGTTTAGGAGCACGTTTGGGGCCATTTGGAGTGGATTGGGACAGGTTTGTATGTTGACTGTTTTGGAGTGTCTGAGGTGGTTGGTTGTGTGTAGGCAAGTGTGGGAGTGGTTAGGTTCAGGGTAAGGCTACTGGGAAAGGTGTTATTTGGAGTGATAGACCTGTCAAGAGTGTGCCAGCCAGCCAGCCAGCCAGCCAGCCAGCCATTTGGAAGCTAGGGTTAGGGTTACCCGATAGGAATAGGGATGAGTGCAACATTAGACATTGGTCTAATGAGCATGTTTCTCCTCACAGGAAGGTTGTAGAGAGTTCAAAGCAGGTTCAATCTGTTCATTTTTTCCTTCCGCTTCTTTGGGTGTCAGTCTCGACTTCCGGTGATAACCGGAAGTGGGCGTAATTCCGGAAATAGAGGTGAAAATCCTTGTATCTCGGCAACCGTAGGTCGTAGAGACTCGGGGACAAGTCCTGCGTGTTCAGAAGGGTCGGATTATGGCAGACGGAGCGCGTTTCCAAGTGTCTGCGACGTTCGGTTCCGGAGTTATTCCCGTTTGAGTGTGTCCATTCATTGTGAATGGGGCGATGGGTTGTTGGAAAATTTCAAAGTGTCAGCCCTAGTATGGGATTTTTCAGAAAGTGTTTAGGAGCACGTTTGGGGCCATTTGGAGTGGATTGGGACAGGTTTGTATGTTGACTGTTTTGGAGTGTCTGAGGTGGTTGGTTGTGTGTAGGCAAGTGTGGGAGTGGTTAGGTTCAGGGTAAGGCTACTGGGAAAGGTGTTATTTGGAGTGATAGACCTGTCAAGAGTGTGCCAGCCAGCCAGCCAGCCAGCCAGCCAGCCATTTGGAAGCTAGGGTTAGGGTTACCCGATAGGAATAGGGATGAGTGCAACATTAGACATTGGTCTAATGAGCATGTTTCTCCTCACAGGAAGGTTGTAGAGAGTTCAAAGCAGGTTCAATCTGTTCATTTTTTCCTTCCGCTTCTTTGGGTGTCAGTCTCGACTTCCGGTGATAACCGGAAGTGGGCGTAATTCCGGAAATAGAGGTGAAAATCCTTGTATCTCGGCAACCGTAGGTCGTAGAGACTCGGGGACAAGTCCTGCGTGTTCAGAAGGGTCGGATTATGGCAGACGGAGCGCGTTTCCAAGTGTCTGCGACGTTCGGTTCCGGAGTTATTCCCGTTTGAGTGTGTCCATTCATTGTGAATGGGGCGATGGGTTGTTGGAAAATTTCAAAGTGTCAGCCCTAGTATGGGATTTTTCAGAAAGTGTTTAGGAGCACGTTTGGGGCCATTTGGAGTGGATTGGGACAGGTTTGTATGTTGACTGTTTTGGAGTGTCTGAGGTGGTTGGTTGTGTGTAGGCAAGTGTGGGAGTGGTTAGGTTCAGGGTAAGGCTACTGGGAAAGGTGTTATTTGGAGTGATAGACCTGTCAAGAGTGTGCCAGCCAGCCAGCCAGCCAGCCAGCCAGCCATTTGGAAGCTAGGGTTAGGGTTACCCGATAGGAATAGGGATGAGTGCAACATTAGACATTGGTCTAATGAGCATGTTTCTCCTCACAGGAAGGTTGTAGAGAGTTCAAAGCAGGTTCAATCTGTTCATTTTTTCCTTCCGCTTCTTTGGGTGTCAGTCTCGACTTCCGGTGATAACCGGAAGTGGGCGTAATTCCGGAAATAGAGGTGAAAATCCTTGTATCTCGGCAACCGTAGGTCGTAGAGACTCGGGGACAAGTCCTGCGTGTTCAGAAGGGTCGGATTATGGCAGACGGAGCGCGTTTCCAAGTGTCTGCGACGTTCGGTTCCGGAGTTATTCCCGTTTGAGTGTGTCCATTCATTGTGAATGGGGCGATGGGTTGTTGGAAAATTTCAAAGTGTCAGCCCTAGTATGGGATTTTTCAGAAAGTGTTTAGGAGCACGTTTGGGGCCATTTGGAGTGGATTGGGACAGGTTTGTATGTTGACTGTTTTGGAGTGTCTGAGGTGGTTGGTTGTGTGTAGGCAAGTGTGGGAGTGGTTAGGTTCAGGGTAAGGCTACTGGGAAAGGTGTTATTTGGAGTGATAGACCTGTCAAGAGTGTGCCAGCCAGCCAGCCAGCCAGCCAGCCAGCCATTTGGAAGCTAGGGTTAGGGTTACCCGATAGGAATAGGGATGAGTGCAACATTAGACATTGGTCTAATGAGCATGTTTCTCCTCACAGGAAGGTTGTAGAGAGTTCAAAGCAGGTTCAATCTGTTCATTTTTTCCTTCCGCTTCTTTGGGTGTCAGTCTCGACTTCCGGTGATAACCGGAAGTGGGCGTAATTCCGGAAATAGAGGTGAAAATCCTTGTATCTCGGCAACCGTAGGTCGTAGAGACTCGGGGACAAGTCCTGCGTGTTCAGAAGGGTCGGATTATGGCAGACGGAGCGCGTTTCCAAGTGTCTGCGACGTTCGGTTCCGGAGTTATTCCCGTTTGAGTGTGTCCATTCATTGTGAATGGGGCGATGGGTTGTTGGAAAATTTCAAAGTGTCAGCCCTAGTATGGGATTTTTCAGAAAGTGTTTAGGAGCACGTTTGGGGCCATTTGGAGTGGATTGGGACAGGTTTGTATGTTGACTGTTTTGGAGTGTCTGAGGTGGTTGGTTGTGTGTAGGCAAGTGTGGGAGTGGTTAGGTTCAGGGTAAGGCTACTGGGAAAGGTGTTATTTGGAGTGATAGACCTGTCAAGAGTGTGCCAGCCAGCCAGCCAGCCAGCCAGCCAGCCATTTGGAAGCTAGGGTTAGGGTTACCCGATAGGAATAGGGATGAGTGCAACATTAGACATTGGTCTAATGAGCATGTTTCTCCTCACAGGAAGGTTGTAGAGAGTTCAAAGCAGGTTCAATCTGTTCATTTTTTCCTTCCGCTTCTTTGGGTGTCAGTCTCGACTTCCGGTGATAACCGGAAGTGGGCGTAATTCCGGAAATAGAGGTGAAAATCCTTGTATCTCGGCAACCGTAGGTCGTAGAGACTCGGGGACAAGTCCTGCGTGTTCAGAAGGGTCGGATTATGGCAGACGGAGCGCGTTTCCAAGTGTCTGCGACGTTCGGTTCCGGAGTTATTCCCGTTTGAGTGTGTCCATTCATTGTGAATGGGGCGATGGGTTGTTGGAAAATTTCAAAGTGTCAGCCCTAGTATGGGATTTTTCAGAAAGTGTTTAGGAGCACGTTTGGGGCCATTTGGAGTGGATTGGGACAGGTTTGTATGTTGACTGTTTTGGAGTGTCTGAGGTGGTTGGTTGTGTGTAGGCAAGTGTGGGAGTGGTTAGGTTCAGGGTAAGGCTACTGGGAAAGGTGTTATTTGGAGTGATAGACATGTCAAGAGTGTGCCAGTCAGCGTGCCTGCCAGCCAGCCATTTGGAAGCTAGGGTTAGGGTTACCCGATAGGAATAGGGATGAGTGCAACATTAGACATTGGTCTCCAGGTAAGGAAAGCTCTTATTTGAGGTTGAGGCCTTTGGGGTGTAATGTTTCTAATTTTCTTATCCATGTCCTTTCAGCTCGGGTTCTCTGTGTGGCGTTCCAGCTGGGGTCCATCTGGATGATCGTGGCCCGGACAGACGACCATCCATGGGCCAGAAAATGGCTGACCAGAGGCGTGTGGGTTTCCCTCCTCTTCTGGATGTTGTAGCGGTGTTGGGTGAACCGCTGTAAAAGCGTGTTTCTGGTCTCGCCCACATACTGTAGGCCGCACATGAGACATGAAATAAGATACACGCAATTTTTGGAGTGTGGATTTCCACATGCCATAGTCTTATGGACTGTTTTATTGACATGGCTGCGGATCCAAGTGGCATGTTTGAAAAATTGGCCATAGCCTCTGGGTTTTGAGGTCGATAGGGGCTTAATTTTAGCTGCCACCAGATAGTCCTGGAGGTTTTTGTTTTTCCTATAGGCTGCTATGAATCTGTGGTTGTTTAGGAGTCCTGGATCAATGATTTTTTGTTGAAAATTTTCCTTGATTTTTCTGCACAGAGCGATTGCTGGCTTGGAATAGGTGGTGACAAAGGGGAGTACATCAGACGTGTCTACTGGTTTTGTTTCCAGGAAGGTGGTGAGGGCCTTCCGCCGGAAGGAGCGTACATAGCCCCTGGTGGCGAGAGCTCTGAAAAGCGTTTTTGTGGCCGCCATGAAGTCGCTTTTGTGGGTGCAGATACGGTGGAAACGGAGTAATTGTGATTTCAATAGGCCCCTGTATGTGTGTTTGGGGTGGTGGCTGGTCTTATGGAGCAGGGCATGGGTGTCTGTTTCTTTGAAGAAAACTTTAATGTCTAATTTGTTTGTATGCTGGAAATTGATGCCCTTGTAGGTGGTGGTATCCAGGAAGTCGACCGACGTGGTGCTAGTGGTGGACTTCAGTGTGATGGACGGGTTGTGATTATTCAAGGTGAGTACAAATTGGTCAAATTCTTCCATAGAGTGGGGCCAGACCCCCCAGATGTCATCCAGATATCTAAAATAATGTAATGGTTTTTTGTTGCAGGCTGCCAGGGCGGAGGTCTCCCATTCGGCCATGAAGATGTTGGCATATGCCGGTGCAAATTTTTTGCCCATGGCAGTGCCTTTAATTTGTAAATAAAATTTGTTGTCAAATTCAAAATCATTTCTCCTCAGATTGATTGCAAGGAGTTGTAATAGTTCCTTATCAGGTCTCTTTTTGTCTGGAAATTTTGAGAATATGTTTTTTATGGCCTGTATGCCTTCATCAATGTCAATATTGGTGTATAAACTGTCAACATCCATAGTGAACAGGATGGAGTTGGGGGGGATATGGAGTTGTTTAACCGTATTGACAAAGTGGTAAGTGTCCTTGAGATAGCCGAAGTGTCTATTAGAAAGTGGATTGATATAATAATCAATAAATTGGGCCGTGTAGTAGGTCTCACTGTCACAATCAGAGACAATAGGCCTCCCAGGTGGGATTTCAAAGGGGACACTCCATTTTGAGGGCTCTTTATGTATCTTGGGCAGCAGGTAAAACAGTCTGGGCCGGGGGATCGGATTGCCCAGCAGGTAAGTGTATTGTTTTTTGTTGATAAATTTTTTGTCTAATAATGCTTGGATAATTGGTTGCACCATTTTTTTAGTTTCAGGGTAGATTGGTTCCTTTAGGACAGAATAATATTTTTTGTCTGTTAGCTGTCTGTTGCCCTCAAATAAATATTGTTCCCTGTCCATCACCACTACTGCACTGCCTTTATCTGCTGGTTTTATAATGATATTTTTGTTTTCTTTTAGTTCCTTGAGGGCTTCAATTTCCTCCTGGTTCAAATTGTTCCTGATTGAGATTGGCTGGAAATTGTTTTCAAAATAATGAACATCCGTTTGGATGAGGTCAGTGATTTCTGGTGGCAATTTAGACAGGGGGGGGCTCCAATCAGATTTTTGGGTAAAGGGGGTGAAAATCACATCTTTTTTGTTTTGAAAATAAACCTGGAGTTTGATTCTCCTATGATATTGCTGCAGGTCCCATCTGCTTTGCTCAATGATGTTGCTCTGGCTCCCCCTAGTGGGGATGAAAGAGAGGCCCCTGTCCAGAAGTGTGAACTGGGCCTGGGTTAATTTGAATGTCTGTGATAACACCAGTACATTTTTTGACCCCTCCTGAGAGTGCAGGCTTATGGGGATGAGCATTTTAAATACCCCGTCCAGTGGTCAAACATGTGTTTGGCGGTGGCTTTTGTCCAGTGTATGTTATCTGCTCCAGTTTCAAAAGATTTGGAGGGCAGTCTGGGGATGAAGAGGCAGTTTTTTTGGATTTGTGCGTTCAGGTGGACCAGGCAGGACTGCTCTTTGAGAGGTAAGTGACGGGAATAATTGATTAAAGGGACCCAAACGGCCGCTTGAGGGAATTTAGCCTCAGCTGCCTCCACTGTGGCTAATAGCTGCTGTGTCAGGATTGTTTTGGATGCAGCGTTTCTGTTATTTATGCCAAAAGAGAGGACCAATTTCTCTAATTTGGTGGAGGTGGTGGCCTTATCCATTAGCGTTTTAGCATGTGCTAATGTCGCTCCTGGGTAGCTGTCAATTTGTAAGTTGGTGCTTTCAAATGGAGGCATTTTGGCCAAGTTGGAGTCTCCAATAAAGGCCCACTCTTTGCCAATGCTGAGGCCCCAATCCTGTATTTTGTTCTGTGTGTTAATGTGTTTTGTAGGTCTCCTGGTGTTGGGCATAGGCACTGGGGTCGGCGCTGTCGGTCTAGGCCGCAGCGTGAGTCTGCTCTGGGTTGCTCTTCTAAGGCTCCTGACTTTAACCGGAGTGGACTGAGCGGTGGAGGCCTCAAACGGGCCTTTATGGGGCTCTCCCAGATCCCCGTCACCCGAGAGGCAGGTGATGGAGTCTGGGCTGTGGACCACACACGGGTTTAAAGGAGCAACTGTCGGTGCCAGAGCGGCTGTTAGCGCTGGAGAGACTGCTGGCACTGGAGCGGCCAACTGCCCCGGAGCAGCCGCTGGCGCTGGAGCGGCAAGCTGTACTGGAGCAGCCTCCGGCACCGGAGCGTCCAGCTGCAAGGGAGGAGTCGCCGGAGCGGCCAGCTGCACAGGAGCAGCAACCACCGCGGGGGCAGCCGTCGTCGCCGGAGGAGGATTTTTGGGTAAGTTGTCATTTTTTTCCTCTCCCTTTGCAGGTAAACGTGCCGCAGGCGCTAACCTCAGGACTCTCTGGGGCCTCGGCTGCTGCTGAAAGAAGCCGAGGAGGTCCAGGGAGGCCGCTGGAGGAGGAGGAGGAGGGGGGGCTGGTGTTACTGGTGAGTGGGCCCGTGTTTCCAGTGCCACCAATTCCCTGTTGTCCTCGTTGATGTGGATTTGTGCCTGAACACTGTGTTGTGTTTGTGTTTTTTGTTTCTCGAACACAGGTGGCGGAGCTGTGGCAGGGGGTGGTGGCGGGCAGTCAGGCTTTCCCCCATCCGTGTCTGGGTCGAGCTGCACGACCATGAGGGCCTCCACCTGCTCCAGAGTCTCAGCCTGGAGTCTCCTACCCAGGTGTCTCTTTGCCCAGGTGGAGGCCACTTGAAAGGGGGCAGGCCAATCACGTTTGGGCAATGCAGATAAGGTGTTAAACTCCTTATCAATGGAGTCAATGTAGTGGTCCCTGAGAATAAGGATTGTTGTATATTCCCAGTTTTTGGCATTGCTCTCAATGAGGAGACGGGCCCCCTCACTGGGGCTGGCCGGTTTAATCGTGGTGGCCAAATTAGTTGTTAATTTATGGATTGCTGGGGGGGGCTTATCGGTCGAAACATTTTTCAGGTGGTGGGCCAATGTAATGATTTTTTTCATTATCCTGGCCTTAATTCCAAAATCAGGGTCATCAGACTGTTGTCTGTTCCCATTCCTGTTTCTCTCCCTCTTTCCCCCACGTGTGTTGCTTGTGTTCCTCCCTGTGTTGCCTGTGTTTCTCCCTGTTTCCTCTGTATTTCTCCCTGTGTTATCTGTGTTTCTCCCTGTGTATCCTGTATTTCTCCCTGTGTTCCATGTGTTTTTCCCTGTGTTTCCTGTATTTCTCCCTGTGTTCCCTGTGTTTCTCCCTGAATTCCATGTGTTTCTCCCTGTGTTCCATGTGTTTCTCCCTGTGTTTCCTGTATTTCTCCCTGTGTTTCTCCCTGAATTCCATGTGTTTCTCCCTGTGTTCCATGTGTTTCTCCCTGTGTTCCATGTTGTGTTGTGTCTTGCAGGTTGGTTGTACGGGGCCCTGCGGCTTCCCGGATTGTCAAAAAATTGTGGCCTCTGGCCATGCTCCGTGGAACGGTAGCGTTGTGGGTAGTCGTCCCTCCGTCCATGTCCTCTGACAACAGAGGCATAGCTGGGACGCTGCCCTGTGGCCTGGTAACGTTGGCGAGAGTGGTACTGGGCTGAGCGGGGTCTGGGCCTTTCCCCCCGGGGCTGCCTGTAGCGGTCACGCCGGTAGGAAACCACCGTCCAGTCCTCTTCCCTGTTCTCACCACGCATTCTGGGCCGTTGGTGAGTAAAAGAAAGGTGGTAGAAAATAAAAAATGAAAAATAAAAAAATGAGAATATTTAAATTGAGGATATGAACAAGCTTTAAACGACGTTTCGGTCTAAGAATAGACCTTCTTCAGGTTAGCTTGTTCTGTAGGTGTAAAAGTGTTGTTAGAGTGAGTGTTCTCTGTCTCTATTCTTCCATGTAGTGTGCTCGAGCTGTGAGAAGCAAGTGGGACTGAGGAGTGGGCAGGCTGGGTATTTATATACAAGAGGGGGGTGAGGAGGGGGGCCAGGGGTGGCCAGCTGCAGGTCGTCACGTGTTTGTACCAACTGCCGCATCCCCTGTTGTCCCCCTCCCCGTGAAAAGTCCTTTTGAGTGCAACATTAGACATTGGTCTAATGAGCATGTTTCTCCTCACAGGAAGGTTGTAGAGAGTTCAAAGCAGGTTCAATCTGTTCATTTTTTTCCTTCCGCTTCTTTGGGTGTCAGTCTCGACTTCCGGTGATAACCGGAAGTGGGCGTAATTCCGGAAATAGAGGTGAAAATCCTTGTATCTCGGCAACCGTAGGTCGTAGAGACTCGGGGACAAGTCCTGCGTGTTCAGAAGGGTCGGATTATGGCAGGCGGAGCGCGTTTCCAAGTGTCTGCGACGTTCGGTTCCGGAGTTATTCCCGTTTGAGTGTGTCCATTCATTGCCAATGGGGCGACTGGTTGTTGGAAAATTTCAAAGTGTCAGCCCTAGTATGGGATTTTTCAGAAAGTGTTTAGGAGCACGTTTGGGGCCATTTGGAGTGGATTGGGACAGGTTTGTATGTTGACTGTTTTGGAGTGTCTGAGGTGGTTGGTTGTGTGTAGGCAGGTGTGGGAGTGGTTAGGTTCAGGGTAAGGCTACTGGGAAAGGTGTTATTTGGAGTGATAGACATGTCAAGAGTGTGCCAGCCAGCCAGCCAGCCATTTGGAAGCTAGGGTTAGGGTTACCCGATAGGAATAGGGATGAGTGCAACATTAGACATTGGTCTAATGAGCATGTTTCTCCTCACAGGAAGGGTTAGGGTTAGGGTTAGGGTTAGGGGTTAGGGTTAGGGTTAGGATAGAGGAAGTGGATGAGTCTCGGCACCGCGCAGCGGTGTCGAGGCTCCATGCACGGGCCATCCTGCTCCAGATCAGGAAAGCTCTATTTGGAGTTGAGGCCTTTGGGGTGTAATGTTTCTAATTTCATAATCCAGGTCCTCTCGGCTCGGGTTCTCTGTGTGGCATTCCAGCTAGGGTCCATCTGGATGATCGTGGCCCGGACAGACGACCATCCATGGGCCAGAAAATGGCTGACCAGAGGTGTGTGTGTTTCCCTCCGTCTCTGGATGTTGTACCTGTGCTGGGTGAACCGCTGTAACAGCGTGTTTTTGGTCTCCCCAACATACTGCAAGCCACAAGAGAGACATGAGATGAGGTAAACGCAGTTTTTGGAGTGGGGATTACCACATGCCATGGTCTTATAGACTGTTTTATTAGAGTGGCTGCGTATCCACCTGGCATGTTTGAAAAATTGGCCGTAGCCCCTGGGTGCAGAGGTTGTTAGGGGCTTCATTTTGGCCGAGACCAGGTAATCCTGGAGGTTCTTGTTTTTTCTAAAGGCCGCTATAAACCTGTGGTTGTTCAGGTGTCCTGGCCTAAGGACTTTTTGGTCAAAATTGTGTTTAATTTTCCTACACAGGGTGACCGCTGGCCTGGAATAGGTGGTCACAAAGGGGAGAACCCCTGCCGTGTCTAATGGCCTTGTCTCCAGGAAGGTGCTGAGGGCCTTACGCCGGAAGGAGCGTGAATATCCCCTGGTGGCCAGAGCCCTGAAGAGCGTCTTTGTGGCCGCCATAAAATCACTCTTATGAGTGCATATTCTGTGGAACCGAAGTAATTGGGATTTCAGTATGCCCCTATATGTGTGTTAGGGTTAGGTTTGGGTTGGGGTGGGGGGTCTCCACCTAAGTGGGAGGCCCCCAAAGTGCACTCGCCACCACTGTGGATGGCCAGCTCTCCGTCCCCATCTTCTCAAAAGAGGTTTTATAATCTCACTATCTGAGTTATATTAGACTGGTTCGCCTTTGTTATATGAAGTATAAATATGTGGGTCCTCCTTTTCTCATGTTATGTTCTCTCTCTTGTATGTCAGGTGGCGTTCGCTCGCGACGTTTCGTCCGCTTCTTGGGACTTCTTCAGGCTGCCATGACATACAGGTGGTTTTCTTGTGATTTTAGAGGTAAGTATCCCCTTAAAGTGAGGTAAGTATTCCTATTAGTTGAGGTAAGTATCCCCTTTAGTTGAGGTAAGTATTCCTTTAAGTTGAGGTAAGTATTTAATTTATTTGAGGTAAGTATTTAATTTAGTTGAGGTGAGTATCCCCTAACTATGAGCCCCTCTGGGGAGATGTGGCTCCCTCAGAGGGCCGTGCCAAACTGAATTCAAAATGTCCGCTGCTCCCTTTTGTACTCTGAGCCCCTCCCTTTCTGAAAATTCGTGTTATTCCTCCATTGTAGTGACTTTCTCCAACTGCCATTTCCCATGTCTTTTTTCAAATTAAAATCCTTTGTTTCTGGTTCCAATTCTTTGCCTTTAATTTAAATAGTGTTCATATCTATGATTAACACATTGTTCACTGGGTATGTGTGCCTCCCTTTAATGGCTACACTAGGGTTAGGGTTAGGGTTAGGGTTAGGGTTAGGGTTAGGGTTAGGGTTAGGGTTAGGGTTAGGGTTAGGGTTAGAGGGTTAGGGTTAGGGTTAGGGTTAGGGTTAGGGTTAGGGTTAGGGTTAGGGTTAGGGTTAGGGTTAGGGGTTAGGGTTAGGGGTTAGGGTTAGGGTTAGGGTTAGGGTTAGGGTTAGGGGGTTAGGGGGTTAGGGGGTTAGGGTTAGGGTTAGGGTTAGGGGTTAGGGTTAGGGTTAGGGTTAGGGTGAGGGAACTGAGCCCTGCTCCCGGAGGAGACAGGGGAGCACGGTCCGTCCACCCGCGAAAACCCTGATATCCCCGGTCCCTACGTGGTGGATAGTTGCGGTTGCGCTTGTTACGCACCAAGTGCCACCCGTCTTCAGCCATGTGGGCTGGGGTTGTAAATATGTAAATATGTAAATAAAATGTATATAGTTAGAGAATGTAAATAAAATGTATATAGTTAAAAATAAAAACCAAACAACTAAAGGCGCTTTCTAAAGAGAAAGGATAATTTCCTTAAAAAAACTTTGTATAAAAACCAAAAAAAATATTATTGTTTATAATGTATAAATAAAATATATATATAAATAACAAACAAAAGAAGGTGTGCCAAAACGCGACGTTTCGACCCAGATGGGTCTTCTTCAGGCAGGCACACTGAAAAACTCTGCAATGGCTAAGGCTCCGATGGCTCTGTGAGATGTAGCTCCTTCGGCAGTCAAGTGAGAAATGACCGGAGCTCCCTCATGTCCTATTTATACCCTCCCCCTTTTTTTTAATTTTGAGTTACAATTTGTGAATTTAGTTTTAAGAACACTTCCCAAATAAACAGGTTTTGAAGGTAATATGCGATTATTCAATAGGGTCTGTATATATTTTATGATAAAATTGTTATAGAGATTAATGTAAATATTTAATGAAATGATAAAAAATATATGCTTATTTATAATTTAATATTGTTAATATAATTTTTAATGTATATAAAATAGTATCCTATTATATTATCTTTTTAACATAGTTTTTGCTAGAATGTATGAATATATTTATTATTATTATTATTGTTATAAATGGTTGTATGTAAAATAAATGAATTAAAAGTTTTTTGTTTTTTGTTTGTTGTTTGTTGTTTTTAACCTGTTTATCATAAAGGGGTTAGAGTTAGGGTTTTAAAATTGAGGGAAGGTTAGGTTCAGGACTAAGTTAAGGGTTAGGTTTAGGATAAAATGGAAGGGTTAAGGCTAAGATTAGGAAAAAGGATTGGGATCAAGGTTAGGTTTAGGATAAGGGCTTGAGTTAGGTTCAGGACTAAGCTAAGGGTTAGGTTTAGGGTAAAATTGAAGGGTTAAGGCTAAGATTCGGGAATCGGATTGGGATCAAGGTTAGGTTTAGGATAAGGGCTTGGGTTAGGTTTAGGATAAAGTTAAGAGGTTAGGACTAAGATTAGGAAATAAGAATAAGAGTTGGGATCCAGGTTAGGTTTAGGCAAAGGGATTAGGTTAGGTTTAGGATAAAATTAAGAGGTTAGGGCTGGGATTAGAAACAAAGAGTTGGAATTAGGGTTAGGGTTAGGGTTAGGGTTAGGGTTAGGGGTTAGGGTTAGGGTTAGGGTTAGGGTTAGGAATAGGGATGAGTGCAACATTAGACATTGGTCTAATGAGCATGTTTCTCCTCACAGGAAGGTTGTAGAGAGTTCAAAGCAGGTTCAATCTGTTCATTTTTTCCTTCCGCTTCTTTGGGTGTCAGTCTCGACTTCCGGTGATAACCGGAAGTGGGCGTAATTCCGGAAATAGAGGTGAAAATCCTTGTATCTCGGCAACCGTAGGTCGTAGAGACTCGGGGACAAGTCCTGCGTGTTCAGAAGGGTCGGATTATGGCAGGCGGAGCGCGTTTCCAAGTGTCTGCGACGTTCGGTTCCGGAGTTATTCCCGTTTGAGTGTGTCCATTCATTGCCAATGGGGCGACTGGTTGTTGGAAAATTTCAAAGTGTCAGCCCTAGTATGGGATTTTTCAGAAAGTGTTTAGGAGCACGTTTGGGGCCATTTGGAGTGGATTGGGACAGGTTTGTATGTTGACTGTTTTGGAGTGTCTGAGGTGGTTGGTTGTGTGTAGGCAGGTGTGGGAGTGGTTAGGTTCAGGGTAAGGCTACTGGGAAAGGTGTTATTTGGAGTGATAGACATGTCAAGAGTGTGCCAGCCAGCCAGCCAGCCATTTGGGAGCTAGGGTTAGGGTTACCCGATAGGAATAGGGATGAGTGCAACATTAGACATTGGTCTAATGAGCATGTTTCTCCTCACAGGTAGGGTTAGGGTTAGGGTTAGGGTTAGGGGTTAGGGTTAGGGTTAGGATAGAGGAAGTGGATGAGTCTCGGCACCGCGCAGCGGTGTCGAGGCTCCATGCACGGGCCATCCTGCTCCAGATCAGGAAAGCTCTATTTGGAGTTGAGGCCTT